AAGATCTCTGAAATTCCGAGACAAAGTAAACCTTTTCTCTCTTAAGTAGCTTTCTTAATATTTCATTACAGTGATGAAAACTAACACATACACAGAGAAAACTATTTAGAGAAAAAATATTTAATTTGATTAATAATATATGTAGTAATAAATATCATTAGCAAATATTACAAATGGAGTAAGCTTTAAATCATATTTGTTTGAAATTTCTACCGCTAAATTGTCTTTCTCTGAAAATACTTGGGCTGAAGGGGCAAGAAGACAAAATGTAAAGCATAATGTGTTATTTCCTTTGCAATGTATCCTCATGATGTCTTAGTTAGGGTTTTTTATGCTGTGAAGAGTCATCACATCGTGACCACAGCAATTCTTATAAAGAAAACATTTAATTAGGGTGGCATGCTTACAGTTTCAGAGTTTCAGTCCATTATCATCATGATAGGGAGCATGGTGGCCTGTGGGCAGACATGGTGCTGGAGCTGAGAGTGCTGCATCTTGCAGGCAACAGGAAGTTGACTGATATTCTGGGCAGTACCCTGAACATAAGGAATCTCAAATCTACCTCCACAGTAACACACTTCCTCTAACAAGGCCATATGCATTCCCACAAAGCCATACTTCCTAAGAGTGCCATGCCCTATGAGATTATGAGGGCCAAACTACATTCAAATTACCACACATGGGAACCGTCTGTCCCCTGAATTATAAATCTATTATCTACATGCAATTTGGGAACTTAAAAAGTATGGGTGAAAGATGGATCAGCAGTTAAGAGAGATTACTGCTCTTCCAAAGACCCTGAGTTTGGCCTGTGGTACCCACCCATACTTGGTGGCTCATAACTACCTACAACTCCAGTTCCAGGGCATCTTATGCCTGTTGTGAAACAATCTTTATACATTAAAAATATATATCACTCTCATTGGTTAATAAAGAGCTGACTGGCATATAGCTTGGCAGGAGAGCTAGACTAGGAGAATTCTGGGAAGAAGAAAGGTAGAGTCAGAGGAGTCACCAGGTGACAGAGAGGGAGCAGGACATGCTGGAAGACAGGCAAGGCCACGACCACGGCCACGTGGCAGCAGCACACAGATGAATAGAAATGGGCTAATTTAAGTTGTAAGAGGTAGTTAGTAATAAGCCTGAGTTATCAACTGAGAATTTATCAAGAAGTTTTCATGTGGTTTTTCAGGAGTGACTGCCAAGACACAGAAACCCTGCCTACAAATGGTGTTCCAACATGGGGCTCGAATTTCCACATCAGACCTGACAAAGCTTTAAAGAGAATTCTATTTTTTTTTTTTGAGACAGGGTTTCTCTGTGTAGCTTTGTGCCTTTCCTGAATCTCGCTCTGTAGACCAGGCTGGCCTCGAACTCACAGAGATCCGCCTGGCTCTGCCTCCCGAGTGCTGGGATTAAAGGTGTGCGCCACCACTGCCTAGCTAAAAAGAATTCTAAACACACAAAAATGGAGTTGAGTGTGGCTTCTTGGTAACCGCCTTTTCTTGGGTGGGCTTTGTTTGATCATGGCAGGCAGAGGTGCAACTCCTTTAAGAGATAGCTTCCTGGCTCAATGCTAGTGGTGAAAATGGGCCAAGCTCTTTTAATAAGCCCTGCCACTGAACACTTAAATGGGGTTCATGAGCAGCAGGCAGCACTCTGCTCAGTGGCAGCTGACAGCAGGGACTCAAAAGCTCCCCAGAGTTGGGGACAGTAATGATGCTAGGCTCTCAGGGAACCAGGCAGCAAAGCCAGCTGTCAAAACAGAGGTGGAGGGCCTAGCCATGCTCCATGCTGCTTAGCAGTTTAAAGGCTCATGCAGTCAGAAAAAGATGACAGCTACTCAGCAGAGACAGATTCAGACAGGAAAAAAGACTCTAAACATGTTGCAATGTGTTTATAAATATACGTAGGCTTAGGAGAGAAAAGAGAAAGGGTAGAGACAGTCATAGATTAAAAAATAGTTTAAAAATATTAAAATAAAGTCCTTAAAATGGAATAGAGTAAAAAAATACAATAAGCCATGTAAAGATGGAGAATACACAGAGTCTGGATTCTGTATGTTATTGTGTTGACTTCAGATTTTCTGAAGGAGCAACAGCTGCTAAGACACACTGGAGAAAACTGGTGGATTAAACCAACCTATATATTTTTAAAATGTTTTGACTTCAAAATGGAAGTAAAAAAAATATGTTACAGTGGAGAAGAGGTTATGCTTTTATTTCCACAGGAGATGAGAGGCTATAGATTCATTACGGATTAAAGAAAATCAGGTTTGGTCAAGGAAGACCCCCTGAAATCCTGGCTGCAGACATATTAAAATTAATAAACCTGCAAGAACTACAAGACATGTAATGTATATTTCACCTGCTCAAATAAGAACCAAAAAATTATCTTTAACTGACTTAGGCACACTATATATTCCATACTTGTAATGTATATTATCTTTAAAAGTTTATGTATTTTCAGAACAAGGGGACCAAATATCAATGAAAATGGATGGCCTAGGTTATCCAGCATTTCAAAATGCCTCTGTTACACTTTCCTCAAAATTGTGCAGCTTCAAGGCTGCTGGCTGAGATGGTCCAACTTCACAGAGTACTGCAGCTGGGACTTCATTATTATCCTAATTTTCTCAAGGTTCCCCCCCAAAATGCCAGTACCTCCAGACAACAGGAAGCAGTCTAGAGAAAACAATGCCCACATTCCCAAAACATTGGTTATGGATGTTTGTTATCATTTAAGGGAAGTTGGTTACAAATTGTTATTGGTCTTAGTTGAAAAAAAAGGGCTAAACAAAAGAGATAAATTCAAAGATCTCTTTCTAAAGGGAAAAAAGGGGGTTATGATAAAGAAATGATGAGATAAAAGGGTAGATTATTGCCGGGCGGTGGTGGCGCACGCCTTTAATCCCAGCACTCGGGAGGCAGAGCCAGGCGGATCTCTGTGAGTTCGAGGCCAGCCTGGGCTACCAAGTGAGCTCCAGGAAAGGCGCAAAGCTACACAGAGAAACCCTGTCTCGAAAAACCAAAAAAAAAAAAAAAAAAAAAAAGGGTAGATTATTGAATCTACTTTAATCTGAAAAGCAACCATTAATCTCAAAATATTTTACATTAGTATGGATTTGGGTTCATTAATACAAATTTAAAGTTATTTTCGCTATACTATATGTACGTTTCTACTCTTGTTTGGGATACTGTGTTTATGCAACTCATTTAAAAATGTAATGTATAATGAAGAAATAAAGGGCAGTACTTAGATGTCTATAATAATCAAATTTGTGATAATTTTAGGTATGTTTTCCAGATTAAGTAGATATATTTAGATAGATAGATGGTCTTCAAACAGTTCAAAGACCTACAGAATATGGCATTTAAAATGTTTTAATAACATAAGACTTTTCTTAACAGTGAGACACATCTGCTCCTGGCAGCACCAATCTACTTCAGAGAAGATGATGGGCATCAAAGAAACTCCATATGGAGTTTGCTTTCTTTGTGGCAAAAGTTAGCCACTGGGCAAGAAACTGCCCTTACCTTAACTGCTGACAGCATGCTCTCCAAATTGGATAAGCCGGACACAAAAGAAAGCAACTGGTGAACTTTACCAATACAAGGTGGGACAGTTCTTCAAAATCCCTACTTCACAGAAAAGTCTATCAAATATACTAGGCCTGTAGGCCAAAGTTGGATGCCCCAATGTTGTAGAAGAACTTTGGATGATTGGCCAGAAAGCCAGATGTCCCTGTCATTAGGTAACATTTCACCCTTCTGGGGTTTTTGATGGAATTGAAGACTAGATAGTCATAGTTAAAACTTTCCTTAATTATTATAAAGGCAAATTAGGTATAAAACTTTAAACTCACAAAGAAAAGGTAAATAATAGAGTATTTCCTCTAATTTTGCCAAATACAAATGGACTGGATATTGTAACTGTAATTCTTACTTGATAACTGTTTTTGTTGTCTATAATTTTACTGTTAAAGTTAAAACCTTCCCTTTTAATTAGACAAAAAGGAGGAAATGTTGTGGAACAGTCTTTGTACACTGTAAATATGTATTACTCTTATTGGTTACTAAAGAGCTGACTGGCCTATAGCTAGACAGGAAGGGATTGAGCAGGAGAGCTAGACTAGGAGAATTCTGGAAAGAAGAGCAGAGTCAGAGGAATCACCAGGAGACACACCGGGAGCAAGACATGCTAGAGGACAGGTAAAGCCATGAAGTGGCAGCTCATAGATTAATAGAAATGGATTAATTTTAGTTGTAAGAGCTAGTTAGTAATAAACTGAGTATTTATAAATAATAATAAGTTTCCATGAGCAACTGCTGAGGTAGAGAAACTTCACCTACAGATGTTCCTTTTTGGCCTCTGTGGGTGCCTGCACACACATGGTTCACATACATATATTCAGACAGACAGACAGACACACACACACACACACACACACACACACACACACAATTTTAAAAAAACAAACAAGCCATGGGTCACATGACAACCAATGGTTGCTTGGCAAGGCATACACCAACTCTGATGTAGACAGGCTTAGATTTCGGGTGACACACACTAACTGACCCTGAGCATTTCAGAATAGTACAGTGAGGATTTTTGGACATTTAACAGGTTTTGGTTTTTGTTTTTTCATGATGAAACTGCTGATGCAATACTTAGGCATAAATCTAGAGACACTATTACAAATGACATCTGGCAGGGCTAGCATTTTGAAAAGAAGGAAGTAGGCAGCACAAAGTGAACACAGGGGAAAGTGGCCTAGAAGTAGCTCATACCGCAGTTCCGGATTATTGCCAGGAACAGCTTTGTAGAGACCACTGGGTGCCCAGGGAGAGAAATGTCTCCTGCCGTGGCATCAGATCAAAATGCACAATGTGTAAATTATTAGAAGCCTCAAGACATCTACATGTCTTAAAATCTGTCAAAATCCACACAGAAATTCAGGATTATTATGGAAGCAAGACTCCATCCCTAGACTGGCTTACCTGGATGACTCTGTTGTTCCCCAGGACTGTACCTCCAGGATGCTTCCAGCCTTGTTTCTCATCTTAAATCACTGCTCTCTCACATTTTCAGAGGTCCTTTTCAGTTCTATTTTGATCACAGAACATGTATAAATACACTGTATGGCAGAAGTGTGATGCTCGGGACGCATGAGAAAGCCAAGAACTGAATGAAAGAAAACTAGTCAGCAACAATCAGCCCCCCTTTCCACTGCAGCTTCCTATGTTAGAACAAACAAGCATCTATAAGTTAAGAAATGCTGCATCAGATGAGATGGGTCCCATATGTGAGCCAAATATATCACATATTTCAATAAAAAGTGAATTATCCCCTTCTCTATGCAGTTAATAAACATATGAAGTTCACTTCCTAGAAATTGTCTGGATTGAAAATAGAATCATTCCCTCCAAAATAAAATAAACAACAACAACAAAACCTTTAAGCCAGGTGGTGGTGGCAGCATATACCTTTAATCACAGTACTCAGGAGACAGAGGTAGGCAGATCTCTATGAGTTTGAGGCCAGCCTGGTCTACAGAATGAGTTCCAGAACAGCTAAGGCTACACAGAGAAACTCTACTGTCTAAAAAAAAAAAAAAAGAAAGAAAAAAAAAAAAGGAAACACACTTAAGAAAGGTTAATTTCCAGCTTTTCCAGCTTGTTGGGAAAATAGGCAAAGTGAACACAATTGGTGTCAGCTACACCTCAGAGTCAGAGAACCAGAGACCACATATGACTTTCAGGCTGGACACTGGCTAAAAGGATCTAGAGAGTGGATGAAAGCAATGGAGCAGGTTATGCTATGGGAGTTAGATGTAGCTGAGGATCTCTTCCTTACAACTGGATTAATGTATGAGGAGATTAAGACTAGCTAATTTTTTGCATAGGTAGTGAACTATCATTTCTTTAGTGACCTTTTAATCAGTCTCTTGAGAGTGGGTAGGCCAAGCCTTTACATGGTGGTTCCTAAGGCAGGGACAGCCCACTGGCCATGAGCACATGACTTTAGGGGAGTTTTAATTCAATGTTCTGAGGTCCAAAGGCCACAGTCTCTGAGTTCCTCAGCCCTTCCTAGACCCTCAGATTGGAAGTATTAACTTTGGTCTAACTCCTTGCCTCTTGGCTGAGTCCAGCCTTTAACTCCAGTTACCATCACCATGGTGTTCACGAGAACAAGGCCAGGTCTCTTTCTTTGACATCTGAGACAAAACCATGTACACAATGGATAGCTAAATAGAACCCTGGTGTTTTCTGAGACTATTATTCTTCCAAATATCCAACACTCCTAGAAACTTCCTTTTGTGATTATCTCACCCTGTTGTGCCCAGTTTTCATATTCAATAAGTGATTAGCCTGAGTCCCTCATTTCTATCTACTAACACTGTTTATGAAGTCCTTACATCTTGTAAACATTTGCAGCTAGTGAAATGAAGTTTTAAAGGGCCAATCTTTCCACAAATTCTTGGTTTAATCCTGGGTCAAACAACGATCAGCTGGACAGGAGAATACTTTATCTAACACTGATCTCTTTCACTTTTCAAGGTAGAATTTTTTTGACCTAGATTCTGTCCCTTGAAAGGCAAATGACTGTAGATAATTCTAAAATATTGTGCTAACTGTTAATATAAAAGGATAATTCCCTAACTACATTTATTTAATTATCCTGAAAATCTGTCAGGCAGAAACTGTCCGCTTTTATCCACCTTCATTTTTTACCTTCTGAGCAGCCCTCTCCATAGCAACTAGAAATGTCTCTGGGCTGAAATAATCCTCTCCAGCTCCCAGCGTACAGTCAAGGAATTTTAAAAACAGAACTTTGGAACCACGAAATGCTCTCAGAGATTTAAAGGCCCTGGGAGCTCATGCTAAATAACCATTTCTCTTTCTTGAGGTAAGTGCTGGGTTTATGAAGGTTTGTGTCTCCCTCTAACTTTTTAAAAATGCTAACATAATAGTCTAAAACTGTTTTTAAGCCATAAAAATAATCTCAGGATCTTCTTATTACCCTCAAAGTCATTATTGACTCATTTCTGGATCCTGCAAGAGATGCTGTTAACATTTTGCACTCCTTATACGATCAACTAAAGACTTTTTTTCTCCAAAAATTTTGACTGATTCTGAAGACTCTTCCCTTCCTCTTAGAGACTATTGAGTAAGTAGATTTATCATCCTTCTGGAGCCTTGAAATGTTCTCATTTTTCTAAGATATTCATTATCCAGAGTCTTGATTTCTACTAAGCTAAACACTACTGTTTCCCAAATGTAACTAATTTTTTCTAATAAATTGTCCTCTTGAAAGATTCTAATTCAGTGTAATACTGGAAATTTATTAGAAGTCATTTTCTCTTTAATTTTCTTCACTGACTTCACAGAATTATTTTTTAATTATTATTATTTTTTTTTTACAGTGGGGTGTCCCACTCCAGGTCCTGTGCCAGGCACTGCCTGCACACAAGGGAAATGAATGTGCCCTCTTCTCAGCATTTAACTATTTGTGGATTTAGTGTCGGTCCAGTTTCCTGGACACTGTGAGTTGGGAAGTTTCCTGGGTGGTCTTTGGGGTTACATGCTACATACAAACCCCTGTTGTTGCCGCTGCAAATCGGCTTAGCCACCCAATTAGTGAGTCCTTTCAAACATGTTGCAGGCACAATAACTGAAGCCTTTCCCTTTCCACCACAGAAATTCCCCTGGTGGTAGGTTATCCTGCGCATAGCTCCTACCTCAGGCCAACTCAAGCCAAAGGAAGAGTGGACATGTGCTTCCGGACAAATCCCCCGGTGTTGATGTTGCTGCTACCGCTCTGTCTCCTCAGCCTTGTTTCCTCTGCTGAAACGAACAAAGACCTCACTCAGGATACTAGCAGAACTGGGAGTCAAGGCCTACTAGAAGTCTTGAGGGTCCTCTCTGCCGGTGACCACCAGTCCCTCAACCATCCACGAAGCCTCATCAAAATTCTGGTCGAGAAGACTGGGTGTCCACAGAGGACACATGGAATGCAAAGAGACTGCAAGCTGGTTAGTAAAATAAAGTGGGTTTGGGTGCTTTAAAGAAGTTGGAAAGGGAACAGTGGATCTCATAGAGAGCCATCTATCACAGTGAATGGCATACAAAGCTCTTCATACGCAAGGGGGAAGTTTAGCGTAGCATGATGATGTCTGGGGTATGACAACCCATTCAGCATCCTACAGGGAGCATATCCAGACAACGGACTGTTTTATTATTGGGAAAATAATGCTTAAGCTTTCTGTACCCTTTCTGCTTTAGAGGCACTGGCTTGCTGGCATGCATGCTCAATCCTTCCTCCTTTCTGCTTTTCTGAGATCGTTTTCATTTTTTTATGTTTTAAGCCTGCAGTAAACGTGCATGGTGTTAGACAGAGGCGATTGCCTTTTCGTGAGACAATCACAGCATTCTGGCATTTGTCTCACATTCAGCTCCTGGGTCCCTCTCCTGGGTGCCAATGGTGTTTTCTGAGTGTGTGTGTGTGTGTGTGTGTGTGTGTGTGTGTGTGTGTGTGTGTGTGTGTGTGTGTGTGTGATAGTTAACACCTTGGTAATCATTAACAGTGAGGTGTTGGCTTCGGGAGAGAAATGCTGAGTTGAGTTGAAACTGGACCCATGCCTCTCACGGCCTGTTCCACAGCCTGTCATGCTGCTTTCGTTCTAACCTAGCAAGTGAACCGACCCTTGGCTACTCACCAAAGCAGTTGTGCCAGCCTCATGTTTACTCCATCGAGGCTTCCTCCTTCCCAGACTGAATCTTGACTTCCTTTTTTTGTTTTTGTTTTTGTTTGTTTGTTTGATTGTTTGATTTGATTTGTTTCTTGAGACAGGGTTTCTCTGTGTAGCTCTGGCTATCCTAGAACTCACTTTGGTAACATAATCTTAAAAAGGTCCTATAATAAAAAACCCAGAGCCAGATATTGGGTTGAAAGCTGAAAGATCAGAGAAGCAGAACAAACAAGGCACAAGTTCTTACCTCTAGGAAACCCTCAGTCTAAAGAGAGTGAGTTCCTGTTTCCTCATGCCTTATATATCCTTCTGTGTCCTGCCATGTTACTTCCTGGGATTAAAGGCATGTGCCACTGCCTGACCTTTATTTTTAATTTAGTGGTTGGCTCTGTGCTCTGATCCCTATGTAAGCTTTATTGGGGTACACAATATATTACCACATTTCCCCTTTTTTGTCTAAAATAATAAAAGAAGGCTATAACTAATATATGAAAAACTATATACAATAAGTATATACAATATATACAGGCAATAAATACATCAACAATGTCTAGTGCATTTGCATTTGACAAATTCAGAGAAAATACTCCATTATCTATCCTATCTTTGTGAATCCAAAGGATTGTATCTAATTCACCTTCTATCCTAATTTGCATTACCAACCCAAAACTATCTTTTGATGTCTTTCAAACTTACATACTTTACACCTCTTTAGTGAGTTTCTTTTCTGAATTTTTTTTAACAAGGAAAACTGTAACCTATCTAATCTTCAACTCCTTCAGAGACTCAGGAAGGAAATAATATTAACTAAGTAAACAAGAAGTACAGGCCAGCAACTTCCAAAAAGTGTGAGGAATAACAGAACCAGCTGGCTGCCTGCACAGTCACTCAAGGTTCCTTTGCAACATTAGGGCATCCATCTTCGGCCTACAGGCCTAGCATACCTGACAGACTTTTCTATGAAGCAGGATTTTCTAAAGAGCTCTCCTACTTTGTATTGGCAAGGATCAGCAGTCCTTTCTTTTGTGTCCTGCTGGTCCATTTTGGATGGCATACTGTCAGCAGTCAATGTAAGGGCACGTTCTTGCCCAGTGGCTAACTTTTGCCACAAAGAAAGTAAACTCCATATGGAATTTCTTCAATGCCCATCATCTTCTCTGAAGTAGATTGGTATTGCCAGGAGCAGACATGTCTCATATTCGTAAAAAAATCTATGTTATTAAAACATCTTAAATGCCATATTCTATAGATTTCTGAAGTGTTTGAAGATGATCTGTCTATCTAAAATACATTTCTCTTTAACCTTGAAAACATACCTAATATGACTACAAGTTTGATTGTAATGATTAACTATTAACTTGTATTTCTTATATCCTAGCTAGTAGGCAATAATAACCTTCAAGGACTAGCAATTTACATTGCATTGTTAAATGAACTGTATAGGTACAATACCTTGAACAAGATTAGAAATGTATTACAGTATTTTCTAACAAAATCAATCTCAAATTTGTATCAATATACAAATTTTATATACAATACAAAAATCTAATCCAATGTAAATTATTTAAAACTAGTAGTTACTTTTTAAAAGTAGATTCAGTTATCTACTTTTTTATCTTATCATATCTATATCCTCCCCTTTTTTCTTGTCAGAGTAGATTCAATAACCTACCCTTTTATCCTATTATTTCTATATCTTTTTTTCCAGAGTAGATTGAATAATCTACCTCTTATCTATATCATCTTTTTTCTTTTTCTTTTTTCTTTTCAAGAACCCCAATTCTAATTTCCTTGGTTAGCTGTTTTTTTTATTTCTTCACTATTATTAACTAACAATTTGTAAACAACCATCCTAAACAATGACAATTATTCCTAACCCATTGAAAGACCCAAAACCATCCACCCTACCTCTTGGAAATGTGGGTGTCATTTTCTTAAAATTTACTTCCTGCTCTCTGTGGCAAAGACATATTTAGGGGATCTTGAAAAGAAATTTTTTGAGTTAATTTTCAAGTCCTGGGAGAGTTAGCTATATCTTTTGTCCAGTCTCTGCATAATGGGAAAGTGCAGGGCTTGTCTCAAGTCCTTGATCGAGCAGTCTGTGAGTCTAAATCATCTCAGCTAGCCACCTTGAAATTTTCCTGAGCAGTTTGTAGTCCAAAACTGATATTTGGGTGGTATTTGTCATCTTAGTGGTATTATCATTGTCCTGATGGAATTGTTGTGGGACCCCATCATCTTTTTGGGGACTTCAAAAACGCTATTAGACATAGTCATGGTTTCCTGCAGAAAACTGATAGAAACTCAAACCCCAAATCATGTAGAGAAAGCTAGATGAAGCCTTTTTTCTAAAATTAGTTAGTACTCTATATGACCATTAACATCATGACAAAAGTCCCTGTTGGGCGCCAGATGTAACACAAATCTTAAAAGTTCTTTTAATAAGAAACCCAGAGTCAGATATTGAGGTGAAAGCTGAAAGATCAGAGAAGCAGAACAAGACAGCCACAAATTCTTACCTCTACAAAATCCTCAACTAAAGAGAGTGAGTTCTTGTTTCCTCATGCCGTATATACCTTTCTGTATCCCGCCATATTACTTCCTGGGATTAAAGGCATGTGTCACACTGCCTAGTTCTATTTCTCTCATGTAGCCCAGTGTGGCCTTGAACTCACAGAGATCCAGATGGATCTCTGCCTCCTGAGTGATAGGATTAAAAGTGTGTGCCACCAATGTCTGGTCTCTATGTCTAATTTATGTAAACTTTATCGGGGTACACAATATATCACCACAACTTTGTAGACCAGGCTGGCCTTGAACTCACAGAGATTCACCTGACTCTGCCTCCTTGAGTGCTAGGATTAAAGGTCTGTTTCACCACTGTCCAGCGAGTGTGCTTTAAAAACCCTCTCCAGATTGCTGTAACATGAAATTGGTGGGGACTGAGAATCCGTCTGTCATTAGAGTCTTTGGGTGTCATGAGAGGAGGTTCATCAAGTTCCACTGTGGAGGAGAACCTGGGTCTTAAAACAACTGTCAACATAATCCCTCTTTGTGACCCCATTCCAGACCAATGAAAATTTTAAGGAAAAACTTACAAATACATGGATAAGTGAAAAGATAAACAAATAAAAAAGAAGCATGTAACTGCTTCCAAAGTCAGTTGTGACTGGCTTTCTCAAGCCAGCAGAGTTCTAGGCTAAGGATGGGGTGAGGGAATGCATTTCCCAGTCACATATTTCTGGTTTTGCCTCTCTTGTGACAGAAAGGGTCTTGCACAGATGGATTTTTTTCTCTGCTCTTTGTGAATGGTAAATATTTCCATAATTATTAAAATGCTCAATGGTTCCCAGAGGAGATGTGTTATAATAATAGGCAGCTCGTCTGTGATGACATTAATAGATATAGATAGTAACAACAGACATCCCACTGGAAATAACCAGGAGTCATATCTTATTAATGTCCACTGAGAATCTGCTCCGGGACCATGTTTGTCTTTAGTGACATGAAGTGCCTTATTTAAGGTGGTTGAATATTAGTTTTGCTGGGTGAATTGTTCCTCATGTTTGGGGCTGAGGAGGAGTGGTTATTTTATGTTTTTTTGTGACATTATCAAGGGTTTGGTCAGTTCGGCTTCCACTGGAATTATATTTATTCCTGGGCTTTGAAATGCTCAGTCTGAGAGTGTTGCGTGTGCATAGCTGCTCTTCCTCTTCTCTGGGAAACTGAGGAGAAGGAAATGTGATAGGAGAAGGCTTGATCCCCCTCAGGGTTCCTTCTGTAAGAAGCCTAAGCAATGTTTTCTTGTCCTTCATGAAAACCCAGTGGAAAAAAGTCATTCAGTTTCACAGTCACTCAGGTTCTCACTCCAACCACAGGATATGGCTTGTTGTTGAGTCTCTTCACGCGTTTTAGACATCTTGTTGACAGGTGAGGCAAGATACTCTGTGGTAAAGCATAAGAGCAAGAGGATGGGTTTGTATCTCTCAGTGTCTGGGAAAAGAAAGACTTAGGTTGGTGGTGCTATTGAATTTCTGAGAAGGAAAAAATGGGATTATAAAAATCAATATGAGGTTTCTGAGGACAGAGGCACTTAAAAATAAAACCATTCAAGTTGTAGTCTTTTAAAATGAACAGTTTGGTCCTCATCCTGGATTTCTTTATTTTCTCTCTT